ATAGGTGCTCTCTATTGCACTTGCACCTACAGTCTGTTAAGGCTACACGGGGGATCTTTGTCTTTGTCTCTTTAGCTGTGTGCGCGGTTTGTGTGCACGTCAGCACTGGGGAGACAAAGGCGGTCCACTGTCCCCCCACCCCCTCTACCACGCCAGGCTCATACCCCGTGGCAGCCTTAATAGGTGCTCGCTAACAGCACTTGGCACCAACAGCAACAGTTTACGAGAGGCTGTAGGGACCACGCTAGGCTCAGCCGAGCTAATCGGGGGTCCGTGTTGTATGAACATCACCGATGTTAGCCGTGGACGGGAATGGAACTCAGGTGGGCAGGGTTGTGGGGGAGGGCATCATCACGCTGCGCGCTCGCAGAATCTCCGAGACCCATGGGCATCTGCCCAACAACAACAACAACAGCAGCAGCGTCTCCGTCTCTCTCGCTCTCACCCGACATTCTATCGGTGGTGTTTTAACCCAAAAAAAATACATCTTCCACTCGGAATTGTGCGCGATGAAATGGGAGTTGTTACGGTGAAAGTGGAGTCAGCCGGGTCGTGGCTAAGCCTTGCCTTGCCGGGGTCACGAGAGGAGGATTTCTGCTCCTCCCATGAAACTCCCCCACCACCACCACCACCACTGAGCCCACGCCTGGCTCCCACAGTGCTAGCGGGGGGGGAGGCTTTTAATTTGTTCCAAATTGGACCTGGTCCGCAACTCGGAATTTCCGTCGTAGTCAGGAGTTATTTTATTTATTTAATGTTTTTTTTTATATATGTGGTTTAACCACGAGACAAAGATCACCCGTATAGCCTTAACAGTCTGTCGGAGGCAAGTGCTGTTAGCGAGTAGCAGCAGCAGCACCTATGATGGTCGGCACTGCACACGAGGGCATGGGTGGCCAACACCGCGCCCGGTCGCCTTTGTCTCCCCAGTGGCGATGTTTTACACCGCACCAGATACTCGTGTGAGGCTGAGTCGACCTAGGAGTGGCCCTATTAACGGTTCAGATAGTATAGCCACTGGTGTTGGCCGTGAGCGGGAATCGAACCCGGGTTGACAGGTTCTTAGCGTATCGCGTTAACAGCCACAAACACACTAACACACTCAAACACACACACTAACACACACTAACAAAGATGACAAAGATGACAAAGATTCCCCGTATAGCCTTAACAGACTGTAGGGGCAAGTGCTGTTAGCGAGCACCTATGAAGGCCGGAACGGAACACGAGGGGGTGGGTGGCCAGCACCACGCCCGACCGCCTTTGTCTCCCCAGTGGCGATGTTTACACACCGCACCAGGTACTCATTTAAGGCTGAGTCGACCTAACACACACACTAACATACTAATACACACTAACACACACTAGCACACACACTAACACACACACTAACACACATGAACACACACATGAACACACACACTAACACACACTCTAACACACACACTAACACACACACACTAACACACATTAACACACACTAACATACTAACACACACTAACACACTCAAACACACACACTAACACATACACACTAACACACACACACACTAACACATACACACTAACACACACTAACACACACACTAACACACACTCTAACACACACTCTAACACACACACGAACACACACACGAACACACACACTAACACACACACACTAACACACACACACTAACACACACACTAACACACACACTAACACACACACATACTAACACACAAACACTAACACACACACTAACACACACACACTAACACACACTAACACACACACTAACACACACTAACACACACACTCTAACACACACACTAACACACACTAACACACACACTAACACACACACACTAACACACACACTAACACACACTAACACACACTAACACACACACTAACACACACACTAACACACACACACTAACACACACACACACTAACACACACACACTAACACACACACACTAACACACACACACACACGCGCTGGTCTCTCTCGGTTAGCCGTGGATTGTTCCAACATGTGCCCGGAGCAAGCACGCTTCTCTCGCGAAATGTGAGTCAGCAAACTCGCGTCAAAAGTAATCAACCCATGGCCATCACCACAATCCGCTTTAATCAACATCTGCAAACTGTCTTGGTTCTTCCGTCGGGAGCGGTGGCGCAGCGGTTGGCGCAGCGGTGAGCACTTACTAACCAGCACCCCCACGCCCCCCTTTTTTTCCCATATACAGTCGTACTGCATAAGCAAGGCCGTAGTTATAATATTGAGGGGGACACATCCCCCCCAATATTCAAATATGCTCACAATGCCCCCCCCCCAATATATTGCTATAAAATAGATTTCTGTTTATATGATTATGGTTATGGTTGTACTTTATAAATCCCTAATCTCTGCCATGACATAAAATGAAACAAGAAAAAAAAGGAAAAACAGAGCAATGTAATACAATACACGTTAGACATTATTGTAAAAAAAGTCCATCCCATGTGTTAGTGAATTTTTTAAATATTTTAGACAGGAAATTCGTTTTCAAATTTTGATATTTTTTCTGGGGGGTGGACCCCCAGACCTCCTAGAAGATTTGGTCCCCCCCAATGTTGACTCCATGGCTACGGCCTTGGATATAAGTATGTACTGTATATAGCCTTGGGATATATACAGTACAAACACCTATTCATGGTAACGTCTTTGTGGGGTTGGATTGCGTCGTAGATGTGCCGTGCGCCCACCTTCACCCGGTTTTCACCTGAGGACGGCTGCTTGCGTTGTGGCCGAAACGTCGTGAGAATTGTTTTATTATGTTTTATTTTTATTATTTTATTACTTCCCTTCTACGTGACTTTACCGAAAGAACCAAGAAGAAAAAAAAACAAAAATACGACCACCACGTGGCCCGACCCCAAAACACAGAGCGTGGATCGTGGCATTGGCGACAGAGACACGCGCGACCCACGCGTGTCTCTGTAGCGTTCCCTCCCTCTGCCTCTCAGCGTCATCCCAGAAATGCCACTCTTCATGAGGCTTCGCACGCTCATCAACAGTGTCCGTTGCCTGCTGTGACAAGTGGATCATCAGAAGCGTCGCAATTGACGACAAAAAAAGATACGTGGAACAAGAGCCGAAACGTAAAGCACGTCACGTGCAGGCTCCACGATTCCACCGTCAGCTACTCGTCTGGACGAGCATTTGCCGAGTCTCAAGATCTCTGTTGGGAGGTTCCTGCCACGTCGAAATGCTTATCAATTTAACGATTTTTTTCTTTCATGATAAGTGTTTTTTTTTTGCTTTTGTGTGGGAGGTAACCCGAGAGCCCAGAGAAAATCCACCGCTCGTACCACGGGACAACGCCGATTCAAGGCCAGCGACGCAAGACTCTGGCTCCACTCCCAAACCTACTTGCTGTGCTGCACACCTCGTGACCACCCCCCCCCCCCCCCCAGCAGGTTTTCAAGTCCCACACAAATTTTGACTTAAAACTTTCGTGACTACAGGAATTCATATTATTTGGTTCTTTCGATATTATTATTTTTCTACCTACGTGAAAGAACCAAAGAATATCTCTCACAAATGTTGGTCGCGATCCGCCAACCCTCGCCTCGGAAGCGTTGGGATCACGGGCGCTGGTTGCGTTCCCCTCCGTCGACTTGGCAATCCTCTCGCCTCCGCCACGGGGCCGTCCGGCACGACGTCCCGACGTTCCGGCTCCGCGTGCCGGGCGCTACGAACCTACTTGCTGTGCTGCACACCTCGTGACCCCCCCCCCCCCCAGCAGGTTTTCAAGTCCCACACAAATTTTGACTAAAAAACTTTCGTGACTGCAGGAATTAATATTCATTGGTTCTTTCGATATTATTTTTCTACCTACGTGACTTTACCGAAAGAACCAAAGAATATCTCTCAGAAATGTTGGTCGCGATCCGCCAACCCTCGCCTCGGAAGCGTTGGGACCGCGGGCGTTGGCTGCGTTCCCCTCCGTCGACTTGGCAATCCTCTCGCCTCCGCCACGGGGCCGTCCGGCACGACGTTCCGACGTTCCGGCTCCGCGTGCCGGGCGCTACGTCGGCATCGGGAAGTGAACACAGCGACGGCAAGCAACGAATGCGGTCCCTGAAGGAGCGCGGGACACCGTGCCGAACGGGCCCCGTGGCAGACGCGATTGCGAGAAATCAATTCGACTAAAATTTTCGACCTCCCAGCGCTGTCCCCGAGACTCCGCCGAATCCGTTGACGGCAACTTTGGGACTCCGCGTCAAAATGCAACGGGCACAGCGGCGCTCGGAGCTGTGAGCTGCGAATTCGAGAGGGAAAAAAAACGCTTCACCGATGCATCGCTCCAGCCCTCTTACAGAGCGCAGGTCGGAGTGAACATCCTGCTCAACGGAGCATTGAGGCATCGGTGCTTTCTATAGAGTCTTCTAAGAGGCAGCGGTTGAAATTCCACGTTCCTATGGCGGCAGCAGGCGAGTGTATAAAAATGCATGCATGTTAAACTTCTTTCGCACCGTAGCCAACCGTGATCAAAGTAGGGCAACTGCTGTTGACATCTCCCACAACGTGGTGGTCATCACTTTATCGACCCTGGTGGGATGATGGGCCGAGTTAGCCCCGAACCCGGATTTGAACTCGCGACCGTGCGACGATTGCGTGCCGCTCGCTCGAGCAACCACCGGCACCTCGTCCCCCCGGAGTTCTGCACAACAACAGACGGCGGTGGGGGGGGACGATTAGAGAGCGAGTGGACGTGTTCAACCTTAGCGCAGTCGCTCTAAGCCGTGACCAGGGCTCCGAGTGCGTCAGTCGGTGTCGGATCTCAGCAGCAGCCGAGCCGGGCTGCAGCCGGCTTCGCTTCCCACTCGGGGGGAGAGGCTTCTCCTCTCTTTTGTCCAAAACGATCGTCACCCCCCCACCCTTCTCTCCTGAAAAGAGGGGACACCCGATACGGACGACGGAGAAATTCCAGAGCCGGTTCTCGTTGTACGAATCAAAGAGGGTTTTTAATTCGCTCCTCTCCAGGCCGCAACCACGAGCGGTCGCGTTTTCAACAGACCATCAAATCCGTCGCACGATGCACGATGCAGAGAGCGCACACACGCGCGTACACGTGTACACACGAGGCTATGTACATAATTAAAAGCACACGCTGGGCATGCGAGACTTGACGTGTCACACGTGATCGTTTTTTTTTTATCGTGTGTGTCCGACAACGGCTGGGGCTCAAGAGGTCAGACCGCTCTGAGATCCTGGGTTCGAACGAAACTCACACCGAGAATCGCAGATTTACACGAGGACCCATTGTACAGGGCGCCACGGTGGCGAGATGTTGACTACGTCGCCTGGTATACAGGAGGTCGTGAGTTCGGTCCAGACCCTGGCGCCTGCTGCTGTATATTTGGAGTTTGCACGTTCTCCCTGTGGTCACGCGAATTTTTTTATCCGGATCCTCCGGTTTTCCCCTCCACATTTAGAAACATGTGTTTGGAGAATTTGGCTGCTATAGATTTTCACGTGAAAAGGCACTTCGTTGAGCTATTACTGAGCTATCATTTGTAGCCAGATCGCTTCTGAAATATGGCCATATGGCTCAGTGGGCATTACCTGCTAAAATAAAACCAGATTCAGTAACAGTCACATCATAGATCGAGTTGTGGTCAAACTGGGTTCTCTAGTGAATGAGTTGGTGATCTCAATCCAGTCGCCAATAACTGCACAAAACATTAATGATGTAAAAATTTGGTGCGGCACTTAATTTGGCTAAAGCCAAACTCTGAGGCTTAAAATCTCAGTTTGATCGTCATGTGACGGGCGTTACGCTCGTACGGCAGAGCGGGTGGGAAAGTGCTGCCCTCTGCGTGCACCACAGCTCACTTGACGGTGATCTCAGAGGTAGCGCTTCGATATCCGCTTCCGTGGACCGTTCTCGAACACGAAGGGGGTTGCGCTGCCCACCGAGGGTTTCCAATGGATTCTCAGGCCTCACGTAACGACGACGGTGCTGGCATCGATCGCCAAGACATCGGAGAAAATGTGTAAAAAAATAAGTGCAAAAATTGCATCCGATTCCGAGAATAAGGGTTACGGAGAAAAACCCGCATGCGGATCTGGCAACAATTACGCTTTACATCCCCAACCATTTTTTTTTGTTTGTTAAAAGGTCAAGAGGAAGAGAGAACCATTAAACATTCTTCGTTTCTTGTCAAAAAGGGGACATCTGACACCAGCAGCCCGAAAACCCGTCGACGTTCGCTGCGCGAGAAATAAAACCTCCGGAGCGTTTCGGCAAGAGGGCCACCAAACGCGACCGCGGAGAGCCGAAGGACGAGAAAGTTTTTTTTTACGACGACGGCGCAGCGGCACGCGCCGAATCCAGGGACATCGCCGGACGGAGACGGTCGCCAGCGCTCCCTGGGAGCTGCGTGCAACATGGGCACTTCGAGCATCACTTTTTTTCTATGTTTACAAATTTACGCTCGACGCAACGCGTCCGAGAGGTAGCAGCGTTCGACGCTTTGTTAGCTGCTTGCCTTAAAACAATCAAGCTACATTACAGGGGAAAAAATATATATAATCGCATAGCATTGATTTTTTTTGCTCTGTTTTAATCTCCACAAAAGGGGGTTGTGAGTAGAACATGGCTTTTCGAAAGTGCCGTAGATGTAACCAGGAAGAGGAAGTTGTGATGGAGTGGGATGTGTGTGCAGGGTGGACGATTGAGTAAGAAACTTGTCGGTTGGGGTCAGGCGGAGGATGTGATGGGTGGGACGTGTGGTCGAGGAGGAGGCCAGGTCACCAAGACCGGCGTTGGACCGACATCCAGAGGTCAGCGACCGAGGGGAAGAGAGAACCCACACCTCGACGTTCAAGATTTGACTTTAACGATTGCGAGGTGTGTGTGTGTATGCTGTGGTGACATCAACGACCTCTTAACCTCACCCTCTATGAACAGAGGGGGGGGGGGCCTAATGGTTATCGAAGGGGGGAGGGGGCAGTTTGTCAATTGGACATATTTGTAACCTTGTCAGCCACGTGTCTCCATGAACCTGGGGCAGACGTATCGCTGAGCGGTACCACCCGATGTGGCGTAACTCTGGCCGTCGTTCCGACGTCTCTGTATGGCCAGCAACGGTGGATCCATGTGATGACCGTGTGAAATGAAAATGCAGTGATCAAGTAATTCACTCGTATTATATCCGTTGGGCAATGCTGCTGCTGAGGCTGCGTTGGCAGTGGTACACAAGTAACAACTCACGTTCGTCAATAACACTGTGGCCTTAAAATGGAGATGAAGTAATAGGTGGCGTTTCAGGCAATGGACTTTCTTCAGATCACGTAAAATAACGCGGCATTGTTGCCAGGTTCAACATATTCACCCGCCAACTCCCCTCCCTCCCTCCCCCTCCCAGCACCCGATCAGTGCAGCTCGGATTGCCCACGGTGATGGGCAAACGTCGATGGCGAGTGGTGGTCTTTACGTGGCAGGCGTCGCGTAGCCGGGGATAAAATACTTCCCCCCCTCTCTAGCACCCGATTAGCGTGGGGGCTCAAGATGCCAGCGGCTCGTGGGGCTCCGGTGAGGTTGCACCGCCCGTGCGATCGCCAAGTTACCGCCGCTGTGTTCGCGGAGCTTAACGGGCCAGCGATATGCATAAAAAAATTATCGTCGTTAAATTAGTGTAAGTAAAAAGTAAAAACATAAATAAGTTGGGACGCTGCTGCCACGGGGGTACAAGGGGTGAGCAGCACACCGAGCAGACCTGCAATTCAGGAGGTCACCGGTTCAATTCCATCTCCCAGCAGCGTAAACAGGAATGGCCGCAGTCACGTCAAGCGGCGGAGGTCAATTCGTGGCGGCCGCTCCCACAAGACCCCTCCCCCCCCCCCAACCGAGACGTCCGGGCGAGCGTGGCTGTCGCATGAGCCAAAAAAACGGCAGGGCTGCAACTTGACCATTACAACACATTGAGTGGCTCTATGGCTTTGCCTGTTCATCGTCCGTTGTCTCTTCTCGTTGGAGTCGAAACACAAGCAAGCCTCGTCGCGATACTGGCGGGGGGAGTGGGGTGGGTGGGTCGCGGCGTGACGGGCGGGACGGCGGGTAGGCGTCACAAGCAGCGCGAGTCGATGAGCTCGGCGCGCAGGCTCAGCTTCTTGAGCGTCTCGTAGCCGACGACGATGACCACGGTGGTGGGCACCGAGGAGATGAGGCGCGCCGACAGGCCCTTGGTGAAGCCCCAGGCCCCCTCCTCGGCCAGCAGCTGCCGCACCGTGCCCACGATGGACGACTTGCCCTCCACCTGCACGCCCGCCAGGTACGGGAGACCGTTATCGACGCCGACGTCGTTATCGCCGCCGACGTCATTGTCGCCGTTTCCGATTCACACACATGCCGAGGAGGAAGAGGAGGAGGGGGGGGCATCGTCGCAGCAGAGATTCACCGCTCGACTACTCCGGACGCAATCTTATGGCTCAATGAGGGCTGCTGCTGTACATCAACGACGTCAGCGGCCACACGCAGGAGGAGGAGGCCACGGTCGTCTTACCCTGTGGGTTTCGCTGCCGGACGATCTGGATCTAATTTAAAGTAGAAATTATATAGTAGGCGACGTTTCAGGCAATAGCCCTACTTCATAACACATTCAATGTGGTACATTTTCTTGTGAGCATTTTTTCCCCGTCACAAATCATTATTACAATTGTCCTAATTATCGTCATCATAAACATCGTTATTATCACCATTATCACAAAAATCAACACTCTCATCACAATCATTATTGTGAGCTTCACCATCCTTATCATCACCACCACCGCCATCACTGCCACCACCATCATTATCATAATCATCGTCGTCATCATAATAATCTTTTTTAAAACATTACAATTTAATGATTACTCTCTCACAGTTCTGCCCCCCCCTCACTGCGTGGAGCAGAAGTCACTTCAAAGGAATCCCAGCAGTAGCTCTGGGATATCCGTTTCTGCGGGCCGTTCTTTGACACGAAGGGTCTCGCACCGCTCCGCCAAAGACTTCCCCACTGATTCCTCGATTTCACAGCAGGAAGTGACAAGCGCGTAACGCGCCGCTGCGCACATCCCGTAGATTCAGAGGCGCGGGAAACCACAGATGGGCGCTCAGAGAAGGCGGCAGACAGAACCGGCGCCGCCAACAATTGCCAAAGCTCTGCGGCCCTACGTTGCGATGTTCGGCCAACCTCCATTAACGTGCGAGGAGGAGAGCGCAGAACGTGACACCGACCGGAGAACATACGTTGGGAGGGAGGGGGCAAGGGGGGGGAGAGCGCGGGAAACCTAATCCGGGTGGCTCAGAGGCTGGTCACTCAGAACGGCTCTCTGAGTCATCTCCGCGGAGACGCGGTCACTTTATTTAACCCTCGCCGACGCCGCCGCCGCCGCCCCGCCGCCGTCAATTTTGTCTCCTACCCTCTCTCTCAACGCCGGGCAGATCGCCCACCCGGGTAGAGGGGTCACATGACCCCAGCGCGCTCCCACGTTGGCCTGCTCTGCCCTCTCCCCTCCAGCCCAAACACACACACGCGCGCGCAGGCGCGCGGAAACTAAAAAAAAAAGTGGACGCTTCTTATTAAAGCCGGGGTGGTTGAGGTTAACCTGTGGCCCCCGCGTGCTGCCGTGCAAAACGTGAGCGATCGGTGGCAAGCAATTTGGCCGGGTGCAACTTTGATCGCGGATACGTGGACGCCGTCGCAACCAGTTGTCCACGGTAGATTCGTAGCGACGCGTTTGCCAACACGCGTTTGGTTGTCGCGATCGCGAGCGCACCGTTCGATTTCCCTGTTGCGCAACTCCCGGCTCGGGCGTGGACAAAGCGGTCACAGGCGACGATCGAGCTGCGGGATTTTCACAGAAATCGCGGTCACCATCATCATCGTCGCCATCATCATCGATATCATCGGCATCGTCGGCATCACCGATATCATTGGCATATATCAATCCGCTGCTGGATGAAAGCCATCCCACACGGTGGTCACAACGTGCGGAGGGGGCGGCAGTCTTTACGGGCGTGACTGCCGCTCGCGTTCCCAGCGGCGGTGCCACGGGGTCAGAGGTCGCATCACCTGGCAGTCTCAAGGCGACCAGACAGGAATTTGGAACAAATAAAAGGGTGTGCACACGTACGTGTGTGTACGTGTGTGTGTGTGATTAGCGGGGGGTTAAACGCCTGTCCCCTTTCCCTTCCTTGCTCCCCACCTCTGTCTCTCTAAGTCGTACTCCGCAGTAGAACCTGGGGCCGCGGACTCTCCCTGGCGTCTCTCTGTAAACCAACTAACATTCCTCGCCTATCTGCCGTGTCAATCAGCGGGCCGTGTTTGTGCAGGTGAGGATGGAGGTCTCTCCGGAGCTGCTGCCTTCCACCTCTCGGTTAAGTTGGGTGGATTTAGAAAAAAAATGTTACAGTTGCCGAGCAGCGTCAAGCGGCCAGCAACAAAGAGCTATAAGTGCCAATAGGTGAGAGAGCTTCGACGCGTGTTGTTTTTTTAAATCCTTTATATTAAGTTCGCTTGCGTGCTTGCTTGCTTACGACCGTGCAAATCTTTCGGTCGTTTTTTAACCCACTTCCAGTGACCCAATCGAGCCAACATTTTGCACACAGACTCGTTGTGCGAGACAATTAATGTTCGTGAAATTTTTTTTCCAAAATTTTACACTGTTTAGGGAAAACAAATTAAATATTTAATTACCAATTGCTTAATACTGGCAGACAATCATCTGACCCATAGGTGGCAGCCATCTCAAGCCAGAGGACGAGAGGACTCTAGCCACCACGCATATAAAGGATTTATAGTGAAAAACTTAGTTTTTACGGGTAAATTTTTTTATTGATCAAGGTTATCGTTTTAAGAGCTTGGGGGGGGGGGGAAGAGAAGACGGTGGGGAAATCCACACGATAGTGGGTGAGAGAGGAAGGAGCAGGGAGACAAAATGTGGTGACCTGCAGTGTGCTGGCTGAACAGAGCGTGGTGGTGGATGAGACTCGGGAGCCAGCGTCTGGTCGAGACCCAAGTCCTCAATGTGGGTAGAGAAACCGACGAGTGAAGTTCATGGCACTGGCGAAAGAAGAGTGACAGGGAGGCGACTGACCACAGCCTAGTGAGCAAGTAACTCGAGTAAATGAGCGAGGGCTGGATCATCAATCAACCTAGACTGCTGCTTGAACTCTGAATTCTATCAAGCACAGTGGAGTGTTGTTCCACCCCATACCAGCGCGGTGAAGTATGGTCCAACAAACGCGCGGTTGCAATGCCGCCTTCCAGGAAGCCATTCTCTGAGAGCTGGCAGTGTGCCGGAAGGTGACGAATAAATAGAATCGGAATTTTTCATCGACCAAACCAATTACGAATCACACACACACACACAACGGCTGTGGCATTAACTTTTCCACTAGCCAAGGCCGTGTCAGATGCCGGCTCCTCCTCCTCGTTGTCCCTGCTACTCCTATGCCCCCCCCCCCCCAACCCTCTTCTCTCCCTCGGCACACGCAAGCGACGGCGGCCACATCGCCCGGCGCCCATAAAACCGGGGGCAATTTTCCGCGCGGCTCTCTTTAAGAGCTCGTCCAACGGCTGCACAATAGCCCAGGATGTCGGCTTGTTTAACGAGCCCCCAGGACGTGACATTTCCCCTCCTTTATGGCGACCCCGCTGTTTAGCGCGGATTAACGGCCCAGGATGGCCCACGGCGGCACAGCGGGTCCCTGCTTCTATATTCTTTGGTTCTATCGGTAAAGACGCGTAGATAGAAAAAATAATAATAAAAAATCAAGTGAATAAAAAAAGTAAAAACCACGACGTTTCCCTGCTTCTCGCGAAGGGTCGCCCACACGGATTTCCTCTCTCTCCGTTTTCTGGACTGCTATTTTGTGCCTCTACTCAAAGAGAGATTCGCTTGATCATTACACAGACTTAATTTCCATGCAAAACTCCATCTATGTGAGGTCTATGGATCTCCTTTTGAGTCTATGGGTCCCAATGTGAGTCGATGGGTCTCGATGTGAGTTTATTGGTCTCAATGTCAGTCTATGGGTCTCGATGTGAGTTTATTGGTCTCTATATGAGTCTATGGGTCTCCATGTTAATCTATGGGTCTCCATGTGAGTCTATGGAACTCGATGTGAGTCTATGGGTCTCCATATGAGTCTATGGGTCTCAATGTGAGTCTATGGGTCTCTATGTGAGTCTATGGGTCTCTATGTGAGTCTATGGGTCTCAATGTGAGTCTATGGGTCTCTATGTGAGTCTATGGGTCTCGATGTGAGTCTATGGGTCTCCATGTGAGTCTATGGGTCTCAATGTCAGTCTAAGGGTCTCAATGCGAGTCTATGGGTCTCAATGCGAGTCTATGGGTCTCTTGGCGAGTCATTGGTGGAGGCCATGAACGCACTCGATTTGACAACCTGGATTAACCAGGACTCAAATCCAGGTTCACAACTGGGGCTCCTTCATCACCGACCATTTCATTAGAATTTCTTCTTTTCATCAATTTTATTTCCAGCTCATTTGCACGGTTTCTTCTTTCCCTGCTCCATTAGCCTAACTGTAGTATTAGCATCTCATTAAAGTACCATTAGCATACCATTTGCATGTCATTTGCACGCTTTATAAATGATCGCCTCTCATGCGCAGGGCTCGATGGGAGCACCGCGGGTGCGAGAATCGAAGTGAACCGCCCGATCCGTGCATCGCGAGTTCCAGACTCGCATATAGACCAAAGGCACAGAGATTCAGACTCACGTTGATCCCTATAAATTTGCGTAGAGACCCATAGACTTACACAGAGACCCACAGACTCACACAGAAACCCATATACTTACACAGAGACACATGTCACGAATGTTAATCCTAGTAAAGCAATGTTTTGCAAATGCGAATCGCGGTAATCTGAAGAACGGGTATGAATTTGAAGGGCGGTGTAAAACCGGTTTGTTGTGAATGTGAGTACCGGCGCAATGCTTTATCGGAGGTGTGTCGTGAATCCTGCGCTCCCAGCACATGGAGAAAAACGTCGGACATCGCGCTGAATGACACGTTTTGCGGCGGTGCAACCCGAACAGCGTGCGGTGGAAGAGACAAAACCACGGCAACGCCAACACCACAGGCAGCAGCCTCATCAGATACGGCATCCCCCCTACCCACCCTGCCCCCCCCCCCCCCCCCCCGCAACACAAGCGTGAGCGGTGTTGAGCGATGGAGTGGCTTGCCGGGGAAGCAGATGGTTCGCGTTCGCTTCGGGAAACCTCTCCAAGACACCGCGCGGACGAAATCCACCGTGGCAGCAACTTGGCAGAGCGGGACATCGGGGCGCTCTCTGTTTTGGTTGTGGCTTTCTTTGTTGTTGTAAGAATCGCCGCTAAACGGCCGGCAGGTTCTTAGACAAACAAACGCAGCTCTAGCGGAGAGAGCTGAAACGTCTGGACGACGAGGCCGTGCGTGCGTCCGGATTATGTGAAAACAAATATGGAGTGGGGGGGGGGAAGAGAAAAATTGCAAAAATTGTCCCGTACCGCGCTTAAGTTTCTTTTTGTTGTGACACTGCTAAAATATTTAGCGGAGCGTTTAAACATCTCGCAGCCAGCGAGAGAACGGATTTACAAAGGATCCCCCATCCACCCACCCTCCCCACCCGCCCCCACAGTCACGTGACTTCCCAAGCGAAGGAGCCAGGATCGTGTCGCGTGTTGTTTTTGCCGCGTCTCTTCGTTTCAACGGCAGCGTCGCTTTTGAAATTAAAAGAAAATTACCGGAGACCGGTCCAGCCACGCGGCCCGGGGACGGTTGACGAGCCCAGAGCAGTGGACCAGACGGAGGAGCACGAGGTGGACACATAGAGTGTAGAGAGGGGCAGTGGGACAACAGCAGCGTGTATTCAGATGTACTCGGGTAACATATGAAAGGGCCGTAAATAAATAAGTGGGTTTGGTATCGGCGCCTTTCTTACAGCGCCAAGGCTGTCGCGGAGGAAGGCGCCGTGGTTACGCTTTGTGAGCTTTGCCGATCCACTTCTGTCTGGAGTTCCACTGCCGCTGAACTGGCCGAAAATTAAGAGACGAATCACAAAGAGCGAGTTCCACGCAGATCGGCCGGATAATCCTGAAGTGGGTGGGTGGATGGTATAAGATTCACGTATTCAGAAAAGAGAAAAGCGGCACATTTATGAGGGGAGATTTAAGAGGGATAGGAAAGGTGTGCAGAATAGGGACACGGGATCAGGATGGCGCTAGCAGGGTGGTGCACGCGGTTAGCATGAGGGTGGGGCGCGATCTCGCTGTGCCAACGCCCCCATCGCCCCTCTGGCACCCGTGGCACTCCGGGTCAGCCCCCCCATCGTCCCAACCACCCACACCGCCACCTTAACCGTCCCCATACCGCGTCGTGACCTCCGCCGCCCTGACCTGGATGCGCGTGCGGACGACGTCCATGGGGTTGGTGACGGTGTTGGCGGTGAGGGCGGCAAGGGGTCCAGCCACCGCCTGCAGGGCCAGGCTCGGGCAGCCCTCGGGCGCCACGCTCGCCAGCTGCTCTGTGCGCAACAAACAAACGACAACAACGACGGGGGCGACGTTGGGCCAACTCGCGTGTACGAACAGGAAGAAATCATTATGAACTTGTCGTTCTGCATCACAAGCCGGATTGACTTCTAAAAAAACTATTCTCCCCGATGTGCGATTTCCCAGCGACACCTTGGAATTTTACACTGAACATAAACTAGCAACTCGCAACGTGCCTCGGACGTGGTCGTCCGCTTCGCTTAAAACGGACGAGGAAATCGCTTTTTTTTTTATTACGTTGCAGAAAGGCGGAAGGGAACAATCACGGGAGGGTTTTGAATTTCACCGCGGCCGTGAATGTGACCAGGCTGGCGGATGACGAACATCTCCCGCCGGTGCCGTCTCTGGCTGCGCAGGTGCGGCCTGCACTGCACCGAAGCTGCGTTGATTTTCGCATTCCCGATTGGCTACGTACGGTGTGAAAGCAGTTAAACGTACACACACACACATACAGACCTGTCAATGGATAATTCTTGGCCAAACTTGACAAGACAGAGATTTTACTTAGATATAAAAAAGACAAAAACTAAGCGCATTGATCAATTGTATAAAAGGCGAAGTTTCGGGCAACGGTCCTTGTGCACAGCACGCAGAGAGGGCCACAGAGGTAGAGCGCTGCATGAGGAGTGATTTTAAACTTGCTGACCGTGCCTTTGTGGAACTGCCAATCGTCATTGGCAGCAGCAGTTCCGCTGGCACGATGCGATCCCGCTGGGGTTAAACGGACCTCCTTGCCAAAACACCGCGAAACACACAACACGCCTCTCGCATTATAAAGCGCGCGCGGAGGTAAGCTGCTGCTGCGGGGGCGGTGGAGGGAAAACCGAGAGGAGAATGTGGACGCGGTCGGGTGGGGGGGGATTGAAGGAATCCGGGGAAAATTGGGCCACGTGGTCACTTGGGGCAAGCGCCGCGCTGGCCAGCGGAACATCGGCCACGCGTCGCGGGGACGACTTTAATTCAATAAAGGCAAAGGATTGAGAACCGTGCGTTCGGCCTTCCAATACATGTTCGTGCTCGTGGCGTTACGGGTAAAAATTAGTCAGTTTTCTTTCCTTGAAGAGGGCCCCACAGTTTACATGGAGTACTCTTGCCAAAAGCATCTGGTAACCTGGGAGCTTTTGTTGAAAAACCGGAAGGTTGCAGGCAACCGGTGCAGAGTTTGCGTGCTTAAACAAATTATGCTCATATATTTTTTCTGCCATAGTAAAAAAAGCAGAAAAATACTTGCCATTCATTTACATGGTCAAGAATGCACTATAAACTCTTTTTATTTTACCAAGTAAGGCCCCACTGAGCTATACAGCTCTTTTTCAGAAGCGACCTGGCCACAAATGATAGCTCAACGAAGTGGATTATCATGTGGACATTTATAGCAGCCAAATACTCAAGGTACATGTTTCTAAATGTGGAGTGAAATACCGGAGGGCCCGGAGAAAAATCCACACAACCATGGGGAGAGACACGCAAACTCCAAATATACAGGCGTCAGGGTCGGGATCGAACCCACGATCTCCTGTATACCAGGCGAGGTAGTTAACATCTCCTAGCCACCGTCATGATGATGAGAGAGAGACATGCAAACTCCAAATACACAGCAGCAGGCGTCAGGGTCGGGATCGAACCCACGATCTCCTGTATACCAGGCGAGGTAGTTAACATCTCGCCACCGCGGCGCCCGTTAACAATAATAATGGAGTGGCAGCAGCCAAGGAATGAAAAGTGGCCAAGGAGATGGATGGTGAGATCATTGCAAGCGCGGCAAATCGATACATCGCAGCATCGGGAGACGCATTGGTGGCGTTCATTCAGCAGTGGAAATGACCGTGGCTGACGCCGATGATACTCGGAGACACCGAGTGGAGCAGTGCGTGCGTGTACGGCATCGCCGAGCTCGCCCACTGCCCAGAGAGCGGACGCAGTTGTGAGGGGCGGTGAGCGTTGGTGAGTGCTGGTGAGCGGGGGGTGAGCGAGGCGTCTCGTGTTGAGTCTACGTGGGGCAAACCGGGGCAGGCCAAGCGCTGTGCGTCTGTCATCTCAACATGTGGTTCTCATGCAGCCTCCCCCCACCACCCCCCCCATCTTTAATGAGGCAGCGGGCGGTGGGAGGGAAGGGAGGGAGGAAAGTAGAAACAGCGAGAGCATGAGAAAGAAAGAGAGTGACTGAATAAGAGATTGAGTGAGCGAATTCACGAGAGATTGAGTGAATGAGAAAGACAGAGAGGGTGAGCGAGAGGGTGAGCGAGAGGGTGAACGAGAGGAGTAGAGCGAGAGCGAGCGAGGGAGAGATCAAGATAGAGAGAGCGAATGAACGGGCGGGCGAATGGGAGTGATAAAGTAAGAGCGTGAGAGAGTGGAAGCATGTAAGAGATCGAGATAGAGAGAGAGGGAACAGGGCGAGGGAGAGAGCAGGAGAGAGAGTACGCGAGACGGCCAAACCCTGAGCGCCGAGAGATATCGCGTTGCCGGTTAAAAAATAAATAAATATACTCAGGCACTCAAAGTGCATTCTTACGCCGAGCCTGAGTGAGCCGTAAAAACGTGGAGCGCGCTTCTGCGGTTGGGGCCGCAGCGGCCGGAATAACGAGATGGCTTAAAAATAATTATTTAGGCCTTTGCCATGGACGAGAGTTCACGTACGAGCTGTGGCCGCCTGCGACAATCCACCGCTGGATGAGGGCGCAGTTCAAATGGATGTCGGCGTCAACTCAAAGCGAGGTTTACGACGGGGATCTCGACGTGTTCCTGAAAAAGGGACGCTCGGCCAAAACGTCCCCGCAGCGAAAGTGGGGAAACCCTCCCGCCGTTGTTTGTTTGTTCCTGCTTAATGAACCCCGCGTAATTGGACGGTAGAATAAACGCCCTTAGTGTGGGGGTTAAATACTTAAATGTAATAAACTTGCGTGGGCAATATGGGCAGCCTCAGGGTAGTGCGATGGTCTCAACTCGCTCCGTTGTCTTCACTCTGTCTACTATGAGCAGACTATCGCGACAAGGAACCTGGCTCTGTTCACCACTCAAACACTACCCATGGTTATTACATTTACACTGACGACACAATTTGTTGCGATTTAACGTTTTTGTTTGCGTCTTTCTCCGCACGGTTCCGCCTTTGGAGTTTTCTGTGCGTTTGAATGTGCAATAATAAAATATCGTTTTGGAAAATGCCCTTTCTGAGGGCGACAGAGGGCGAGAGAGGCAGGCTGCGATTAAACCATTACTGGCCTTCGGAGCGCTAATGTCGGCGCCCATTAAAGGGCCTCTCTCCACGTGAGCGGCTATTGATGTCAATTAGTTGCCCCTTTGTTGTGCAAACCACAAACAGTGACGGGGGTGGTGGGCGAGCGGGGGTGTCGGTCAATAATTTATTTTCATCTTTTACCCAATTTGAACCCAAACACGTCGGCCTTTCGCGAGCAATATTGCGATTCGGAATAGATTTTTTATTGGTCAGGTTCGCTTAAGCAAAACATTGTCTCGTACACCCTCCTCCACTTGACACAGCCAGTTAATAAAGTGTTTAACTTGATGAACAAACGTGGCCGGTTTAACACTGCTTCAGCCGAAGCCAACCTCGATGATAAATGACCCAAAAATGTATCATGATCGTGCGAGGCAGCAATCGGAGCTCTCACAGAGCAGCTTAATGCCTCCCGGAGAATGGTCCGCAGAAGGAGATATTGCAGAGCTTCCTCTGACGTCCCTTCCAAGTGACCTCTCGTTTTTACACTCGGTCAGCAAGAAGCAGCACTTTCTCCCTCTGCCCTGCGACAAAGCGACACTCGTCACGCGGCGGTAAAACTGACGTTTCACTTCCCAGGGATGGAGTGTTCGTCAAATTAAAATGTGAAACCAAATTTAAATCGACATCCGTTTTTTTTTGTTGGTGCAGTCATTGGTTACCAGGTCGAGTGGAATCCCGTCGATACATTTGTAACGAGCTGACCTATCGGTCATCACGCAAAACAAATAAGAAATAAAATACCCATTAGGTTTCAGTACCCTACGGGACTCTCTGGATCAATGCTTTCCAGCAGCATTTGCATCAAACTGTGAACTCGCATCGCATCTGCTGATGAGGCTCAGAGAGGTGAAAACAGGCTGAGGAATTTCACTGCTGCTAAATACACCAGCACGGGAATCAGAAATGAGACCGCAGAGCCGTCGTCGCCGAGATCCTCCGTTCGAACCCAGCTTTCAGACCGGGATCTCAAGCGTGGTTGGTTGACTTGATGTGCTCAGCTTGGCACAGGTGTCCCTTGCTCTACGTGGGTTCGGTTTGTGCGACTTCGCACTGTAGATGCGGATAACCTCTTTCGACCCAACATTTGCTCGACTACGCGGTTTTAATTCACTCTACATGCGGCTATGCGGTCGTACGTGGCACAACAGTGTGTAGTGTATGCGCTACTCGGCAGGAAGCTGTCTCAGACAGAAAGACATATAGAGTACATACACACAGAGATACACACACAGATACAACATTGTGTACTGTGTGTACTTGCCAAGCTGTCTCCTCATGCGGTTTTGCTTTGTGTGCGTGTGCCCTTTATTCGGAGAGCATCTGCTACTGCTACTACTACGGCACAGAGCGAGGGAAACCTGTACTTCGTAGCCAATGTCTGCCATAAAAAAAACACCACCCACCACGTTACATTTAGTTCGGCGCTTAGCACGGCTAAATTTTCTGAGAATTAAACACATTGGGTTGACTGCCATGCAATGTTACTTTTGGCCGCATCATGGGTGGGGGAGTGTTGTCTTTTCTGCGGCGTGGAGCAGAGGTCGCTTGATGAAGGGATTTCTGTGATATGCACTTTTGTGGACCGTTCCCTATGTCTGTGCTTTTGCAACAACGATAGCACAGTCGTGAAAATGTTAGAGAGCGATAATAAAAAAAAAGACATGTATTCTTAGATCAAATTGCCACTCTGAATTGATTTACTTGCCGGGAGCAATGAATCAACTCTAAATCCAAACCAGCTCAAGCCTCCTGTAAACCACGTGACTTGTGTGTGGCCACCCCCACTCTAAAACCTTCCCCCCCTCTGCCCACCGCCCACTGTGAAAACAGACTCCACTCTGTGCGGTAGCATCGAGTCCCTGATGCAGCCTTTCCCTCCCTCTCTCCCTCCCCCCCTCTCCTGCAGTCTCTGCTCCCGTTCCTCCACTCCTCCATCCCTTTCGTCTCTTTCCCACCCCTTCTCTTTCCTTTCCACGTACATTACTTCACCGACCGTACTCACCTTCCCGTGGTGTGCCGCCACGGTTACAAAGTTGCTAGTTCTCCTCTGCTGTTGAGTCGGATGAACAAAAATCCTTTTACTTTAAACCGTGCAAAGAGCAAATTGATGCAAGCTTGCCACCTCCTGCAGAGCGATGGTACTGGAAGTGCAGCGCTCGAGACAATGCGAGCAGATCCACGCCCCTGACTACGTGCTATCTCCTGCGACCTAGGGAGCTCCTCTGGGTGGAGCGTGGTGAGTACTTGGATCGGTGACCACTTGTGCTTGCCAGGTGCTGTAGGCACGCGTGACAAATTCCACGCAATCACAGACATCTCGTTAACCTGCGTCCCTCCCGACGTAATCGGGACAGAGGTTGATGACATCATTCAAATTGTAAAGTAAAGTAATTGGGCTTGGGCAGGACGCTTCATTGGCAAGGACGGACGACGCACCATCTTATCCTATATAGATAGATCTATATAGTGTCTTAATCCAAGGCGCTTTACAACAATTATAACATTGCACATGAGATGATAGTGGTTGAAATAAAGAGTGGGGATATTAAAAGCAGCGGTGTAGTTATGGTGAGAGGATAAAAGCTAGGAGTGATTAAGCAGGGGTTGGGGTAGTGGTTGGGGTAGTGATAGGGATAGTGATCGGGGTAGTGATAGGGGAAGTGATCGGAGCAGTGATAGGAGTTGGGGGAGGCCTGGTCGTAGCTGGGGGGCGGGAGCAGGGAGTAGTGGAAGCAGGATGGGCTAGAGGAGAAGAGATGGGGGATGTTTTTAAGGAACGGAAAATTCTGGAATGTCAGCCAAGGAATGGAGACGGAGTGATGAAAACAGCTCGTGCGCCGGTGCTGGATTGATTACTAGGAATCGCAGGATCGTAAGATGTGGCAACGACGGCGGTGGCTTCGGGAAGGCCTTCATTTAGCAGTGGATCGATCATGGCTGATGATGACGATGGTGGGGAAGCAAAAGCCTGGCAGTGGTGGTGGTGGGGGCGCGGTGTCTCACCGGTGTAGGCGTGGTAGAAGGGCCACCACACGGCGCTGTTGGGGATGTAGGTGAGAAGCGAGGCGGTGTAGCCACGGTAGAAGCCCGCCGGCCCGTCCGCCCGCAGGATCTGCGCCGCCACGATGCGCCAGCGGCCCAGCGGTAGGGACGAGCCTTCCGTGGCGCACAAGTGGAACCGGCCCATCGTGCCGCTGTCCTTCCCTGCACCGTTTAATCGACACGTCAACAACCGCTCGAGTCTGCTGTCGCGTGTGATGACAGCGGCAATGTGGTTCAGGAGCTCGATGCCAATGTCGAGGTCTACTGCGGCTGCTGGCTACGACGAGAGGGCTTCAGCAGAGAGAGTTTGCGTCGTGTCGCTGTTCCTCCTCTTCCGTTGAAGGAGCGCAGTTTACTGTACGGTCCACAGTTTGGGTTGCATGGCCACAATTGCTCTACTGTGGCTGGTTCTCCTCCTGTTTTATAGAATGTGATTGTGTGAGCGTGCGTGCAAGTGTGCGTGCGAGTGAGAGTGGCATTTGTACGTTTTCCTCCTGTTCTGCATGGGTTTCCCCTGGGTTCTCCGCTTTCCTCCCCATAGCTGAAACAACACCCGCACAATGTAGCCGGTATTGGCCAACAACATCCCAATGCTGGAAAAACTACCGGTAAATTACTCGGCGGCAACATCGCCATTCCGACTGCGAAAACTTTTTGAACAAAAATGCCTCTCGAGATTCTAATACAAACGTATATACAAACGTCACAGTCATCATCAGACAACAGCATTAACTGCCACAGGCACCGGAGGTGAGCAGGACGGGGGCAGGAGTAGGGGGGGGTACGCACCCTGTATCATGAGGTGCTGCGAGATGATGTCGATGGGGACGGTGATGCTCTGCGCGACTAGCGACGCGCAGCCGCCGGCCACCAGCGACTTGAGCGCGTTGCTGTCGCTGAAGCGCGAGACGTAGAGGCGCGCGAGCTCGTAGGTCGTCACGTAGGCCTGGCCCGAGACGATGGTGAGGGCATTGACCAGGAAGCCGCGGTAGAGGCCCCGGGCGCCCTCGGCGCGCGCGATCTTTGCGAAGGCGTCCGCCGTGCCCTTGTACACGCTCTTGCCCTTCTGCACCTGAACAACACAGACATCCAAAGACTTTTATGGATACCCACCGACTTATAAAATACTCACATAGCGATTGACAAATCTGTACAAGAGACCTACCCACAGACTCACACCGAAACCCACAGACTGACACCGAGACTCACAAAGCGTCTCATAGACTCGTATAGAGACACACAGATGAACACAGACATCCAAAGGCTTGCATGGACGTACAAAAACTGACATAGCCACAGACCTATAAAAGAGACCCACAGGTTCCCATGGGGACTGATAAGACTCTCGATAAACAAATATGTCCAGAATATTCCGATGCAGTTCTATGCAGGCGCTATACAACTCCACAACGTTGCGGAGTCAATGTCAAAATGCACTGCGTAAGGTTTTATGTTTGCGGTTGTGCTCTGGGGTGGTTCCGCTCTGCAGAAGCAACCGGCACGCTGGAAAAAACGTCTGGACGGACGTCGTTCCCGCGAAACAAGCGGCCACATCCGGAAAAAAGTCACAATCGACGTTGCACGACTGCTTTGCGTTAATAACAATAAGTGCGATCGCATCGCGCTACATCGCACACCCGGGGGGCGGGGTAGGAGGAGGGGCGTCACCTGCAGGCGCGTGCGGATAAGCGACGCGGGGTAGACGGCGGCGCGGATCGCGAGGGTCATCACGATTCCCAAGGTGAAGAACTTGCGCTTGTCCAGGTCCTCCCACTCGATGATGCGAACGCTTCGGCCGTCAGCGTTCATGTTGCTGCCCTTGGCAATGTGGGGGGGCAATGTCTGCCACCCTCCGCCCCCCCGCCGCTCCTCGACCTCAAACCCTTGACCTCTCACCGCTGTCCGTCATCGCCGCCCTCCGTCATCATCATCACCAAGTGCTGAGTGAGAAAGGTTACAAGCAGGAAATACTGAGACGCTTGATCTTGATGAGAAGGAAGGGGCCGTAGGGAGCAGTGGCGCGGCTCGGCGGTAGAGCGTTCGCCGCTGTTTGCAGAAGTTCGAGGCTCGTAACGGGAGGCCACCCTAGTTAATACTGCAGGTGTGTTCACCATAAATTACTACGCGCCGTCTGCTTCGCGGCACGGCGTTAAAGATTGAGTGGCGTCGTTCGAAAAGCGTAGGGCATCGTGGGCTAAAGTCACGGTCCAAATTTGACAAGTTCTAAACATCACTCGTAATATCATGGGACCTTTTTTTCTCCCAATATCAAAAAAGGTCTATTTGGGGCTTGAACATCTTAACACCTGTTTTATTGCCAGACAGGGTAAAACCCATTCTTCATCGCGATTCACGTAGCAACATCGCCCCCTCCTGGCAAAAATAAACACTTCTTAAAACTGACTTGGTCAAACATCCCCATGCAGGATGCTCCTTAACACGAGGCTTGAGGACTCAGTCAGCTTTTACTGGTTTGTATTGGTCTGGTCTTCAAATTGCTATGAACAAAAAAACTCATGTTTGTCAATAACACTGCTTTAAAAGAAAAATACAGGAAGCGTATATAATAGGTGACGTTTTGGGATATGGACCTTCTTAAAAGCACAAATCATCGCTTGTGCGCCACAAACCAAAGCAGCATCGCCACCGAAAAATGTTTAATATCACGACTGTATCGAAACGTTGATGAAATATTCCGCACCTTCTCCAATAAATGAGACGTCAGTCCGGAACAAGACTTTCTGTAAGTCATGCATGCGAGGTGTGTAAAAGATTCGAGGGCGTATGCGTGTAATTGTTCAACTCTTGTTACGTTCAACAAAAATTACAGCATATTGACGTGTGGCAATAGCAGAGTTCCAGCCGAGTAAAAACGAAAATGCCCCATTCGCAGAACAATAACAGCCGCACCAAGTCCTCTTTGTTTCGAGAACGGCCTCATCCACATTCCTCTTTTCTCACGGCAGAGAAGGGCATTCTATTGACCGATCACCCTCATGATTCAGTGATAAAACCCCACAAAGAGGCTCCTCCCAAAGCGTCATTATATCCTCAATACAATCATTATTCGGCGATTCTGCTTTGGCAACGGTGCGTGCGAACGCACTGTGGTATTAAAGTAATACTCGATCGTCATATGATCACATTCGTCAATTACAGTATTAAAAAAAAAATTGGAGACGTTTCGGGGAACGGCCCTCATGACACGTGCAGGCGTGAGGGTGGCCTTCAACCAGCAGTGGATTGACAAAAGCAAACCTGTCAACCCCTTATCAGTGCCCTACCTTATTACAGACCAATTCAGACGTTATTGGTCACCCGGTGCCCTTAAAATCTCAACGTTCATCCTACAAAGTCGCACCACAAGGGAGAAACACAAACAAATAAACACCCACCACCACTACACTCACCACCACGACACTCACCACTACAATCCTATCAACCCCTTATCAGTGCCCTACTTTATTACAGACCAATTCAGACGTTATTGGTCACCCCGTGCCCTTACAAATCTCAACGTTCATCCTAAAAAGTCCCATCACAAGGGAGAAACACAAACAAATAAACACCCACCACCACTACACTCACCACCACGACACTCACCACTACAAACCTATCAACCCCTTATCAGTGCCCTACTTTATTACAGACCAATTCAGACCTTATCGGTCACCCCGTGCCCTTTACAAATCTCAACGTTCATCCTACAAAGTCCCATCACAAGGGAGAAACACAAACAAATAAACACCCACCACCACTACACTCACCACCACGACACTCACCACTACAAACCTATCAACCCCTTATCAGTGCCCTACTTTATTACAGACCAATTCCGACCTTATTGGTCACCCCGTGCCCTTACAAATCTCAACGTTCATCCTACAAAGTCGCACCACAAGGGAGAAACACAAAGTCGTTGTTTAAATGCCCTTATTGAAACGGCTGTACGCCTGACGACTCAATTTCCCTGTACAATACGGGATAAATCGTATGGGTTGACGGTATGCAAAAGTAAAGTTGACTGGAGGAACCGTTTTACTGGTAGGAACCTCCTGGTTCCACCAGCCCACAGGGGATTATTGTGTCCGTCCGTCCGTCGGGCATCCAAAAATGGGAGGGGTGGGGCTGGGTGGAGAGGCGAGGGTGGGGAGGGAGGGGCGGGGTGGGGGGTGGGAGGGGTGGGGCTGGGTGGGGGGTGGGAGGGGTGGGGCTGGGTGGGGAGGGGGAGGGTGGGGAGGGGCTGGGTGGGGAGGGTGGGGCTGTGTGGAGAGGGGAGGGTGGGGAGGGGCTGGGTGGGGGGGTGGGGAGGGTGGGGCTGGGTGAGGAGGGTGGGGCTGGGTGAGGAGGGTGGGGCTAGGGGTGGGTGGGAGGGGTGGGGCTAGGTGGTGGGTGGGAGGGGTGGGGCTAGGTGGTGGGTGGGAGGGGTGGGGCTGGGTGGTGGGTGGGAGGGGTGGGGCTGGGTGGGGAGGGGCTGGGTGGGGAGGGGCTGGTCACCCCGTGGTGCCCTTATAAAACTCAACGTTTAACCTACTCACGCCGGCTTGTGCCCGCCCTCACAGTCGGGCATATTTGCGGAATACACCACGCCACCGTTGACCCTGCAGGCCATTGACCGAGCAACCCGACGTTCCTACCAGCTCCCTCCGCAGGAATGTGTTAAACGTGACAATCTTTAAACAACTTGGTAATACCCCAAAAACAGTGCGACTGCTTCGAGTTACATATCCCTACACGACGTTGTAGTGAAGACCCATTCATCTGACACAAGAGAGGGTCCCAGCCTACACATACATCGGGGTAATTCCAGTCCAGTTGTACGAGGCATTGCTTCGTGAAACCGACCCAAAAAGTTTTAAAATTGCATTTCATCAACGCTGAAACCTATGCACTGCGAAAAAATGTCGGCTGATGGATGGGAACGTGTAAAAAACATAAAAGTGCGTTTCAAATTTCATGCGGAGAGACGGACTTTGGCGATGGAGTCGTTGTTTAATTTATATTACTGTACATAATTTAGATCGAGGTCTCTTTAGAGTTGTTGTTTCACGTTCTCCACACGGTACGAGATTGTAGTTAGGCCCCCCACGGTACGAGAGAGAAGTTAGCCCCCCACAATACGAGACAGAAGTTAGACCCCCCACAATACGAGAGAGAAGTTAGCCCCCCACAATACGAGAGAGAAGTTAGACCCCCCACAATACGAGAGAGAAGTTAGACCCCCCCACAATACGAGAGAGAAGTTAGCCCCCCACGGTACGAGAGAGAAGTTAGCCCCCCCCACAGTACGAGAGAGAAGTTAGCCCCCCACGGTACGAGAGAGAATTTAGACTCCCACAATACGAGACAGAAGTTAGACCCCCCACAATACGAGACAGAAGTTAGACCCCCCACAATACGAGACAGAAGTTAGACCCCCCACAATACGAGACAGAAGTTAGACCCCCCACAATACGAGAGAGAAGTTAGACCCCCCACAATACGAGACAGAAGTTAGACCCCCCACAATACGAGACAGAAGTTAGACCCCCCACAATACGAGACAGAAGTTAGACCCCCCACAATACGAGAGAGAAGTTAGACCCCCCACGGTACGAGACAGAAGTTAGACCCCCCCACGGTACGAGAGAGAAGTTAGCCCCCCCACAATACGAGAGAGTAGTTAGCCCCCCCACGGTACGAGAGAGAAGTTAGCCCCCCACGGTACGAGAGAGAAGTTAGACCCCCCACAGTACGAGAGAGAAGTTAGACCCCCCACGGTACGAGATTGTAGTTAGCCCCCCCACAGTACGAGAGAGAAGTTAGCCCCCCACGGTACGAGAGAGAAGTTAGACCCCCCACAGTACGAGAGAGAAGTTAGCCCCCCACAGTACGAGAGTAGAAAGCCCCCCACGGTACGAGACAGAAGTTAGACCCCCCACGGTACGAGACAGAAGTTAGACCCCCCACGGTACGAGAGACCAACACCGCACGGACCAGCGTGGTGAAGTATGGCCAAATAAACCCGCAATTACCGAGCGTAGAGGAGGGGGAAGCCTTCATCCAGCAGTGGATTAACAAACTAGACGACAACTTTCTTTGTTGCTGCTGTTGTAGTTTAAACAACATTACCTTGAAACGAGGGGGGCTGGGGGCTCGTAGCTTCAATTAAAATGTCACCGCGGCGACGACAACAGCCCCCGTGGTTAGAGAAAGACTCCCAATAGCACCACCAACGCCACCACCCACCATCATCTTCACCACCATCACCACCACCACAACAACATCCCCCCCCCTCGCCACCACCACCACCCACCGTCATCTTCACCACCATCACCACCACCACAACAACATCCCCCCCCCCCTCTCGCCCCCCCCCCTCGCCACCACCACCACCACCCACCGTCATCTTCACCACCATCACCACCACAACAACATCCCCCCCCCCCTCTCGCCCCCCCCCCTCGCCACCACCACCACCACCCACCGTCATCTTCACCACCATCACCACCACAACAACATCCCCCCCCCTCTCGCCCCCCCCCTCGCCACCACCACCACCACCCACCGTCATCTTCACCACCATCACCACCACAACAACATCCCCCCCCCTCTCGCCCCCCCCCCTCGCCACCACCACCACCACCCACCGTCATCTTCACCACCATCACCACCACCACAACAACATCCCCCCCCCCTCTCGCCCCCCCCCTCGCCACCACCACCACCACCCACCGTCATCTTCACCACCATCACCACCACCACAACAACATCCCCCCCCCCCTCTCGCCCCCCCTCGCCACCACCACCACCACCCACCGTCATCTTCACCACCATCACCACCACCACAACAACATCCCCCCCCCTCTCGCCCCCCCCCCTCGCCACCACCACCACCACCGTCATCGAAGCCTCTTCCGGTCGCCATCTTGGTCAGGGTAGAGCGCCGCGCACGTGCTTTGCGGAAGCCGACGAACTATTCGGGACACTTTTAATTCCCGTCGTAGGCCTCGTGATAATTGACTGCTGTTAGCGAGCAGCAGGCCGGCACGGTGGCACGCCCGGCCGCCTTTGTCTCCCCCCCCCCCCCCCCCAGTGGTGGTGTTTTACGCACCGCACCCAGGTACTCATTTAAGGCTGAGTCGACCTATGGGAGGTCCAGAACCGGTTCAGATAGTAGTGGTCGTGAGCCGGAATCGAACATGGGCCGCGTGAGTTCGTAGCTCGTCGGATTCCCGCAGTACGCGTGAATATTCTGATCGATCTTTGGAGCGCTAGTGCGCTAACCGCTGCACCACCGCTCCCACGGACGACGGTGATCCCCTACGCAAGATGGCGCCGCAATTTTAGGCGTCGGCGTGACGTCACACATGCGTGGAGGGGAACCAATCAGAATCGCGCTTAGGCGGAGACGCCCTTAGGCGGGCGCTCTCAGCCAATCGCAAGCCCCCGCTAAGGGAGTTTATGGGTATTATTTAAGTCACGTTGGTAGTTCCCAAAAAAATAATAAACCACGACGTTTCGATCGCAACACAATCGACCGTCATCAGGCGTCGTAGTTTTTTTTGTTTATTTTATTAGTTTTTGAACCTATCTATATGACTTTGCCTATTTAAAAATGCTCACCAAAAATGTATTTAATACTTGGAATAAACACGTGCAGCAACCCCACTATTAATATCTACCCTCTCTCTGACCTATCCATGTATGTGCTATGAAGAAGGGCCATCACTCGAAACGTCACATCATATTTCTCCTATAGAGGCCACACGCACATAGCGTTATTATTGACTTCGCAACGTGTTTTGACGTTTTCTAGTGTAACAGGGGGCGAGGGAGTTGTGAAACGCCAGCCAATCAGCGCGCGACATTAGGAGGGTGTGTCCAGGGCAGCGGCTGTGATTGGACAGTGGCAATGCGGAGGGGTGAGCCAGCGTCCAATCGCTGAGAGGGCTGACGAGCCACGTGGCTTAGGCAACGCGGTCTTCACGTGGATGTAGCACGTGGAGACCGCGTGGCGGTGCTGAGCGATAGTTCTGGACCAGGGGGGAGAGGGGTCGGCCACTAAACAAGTATAACCCGTAAAAACAAAGTTTTTCACTCTAAATCCTTTATATGCGTGGCGGCTAGAGTCCTCTCGTTCTCTGGCTTGAGATGGCTGCCACCTATGGGTCAGATGATTGTCTGCCACCATTAAGCAATTGGTAATTAAATATTTTTAAAAAATCCCTAAACAGTGTAAAATTTTTGAATTTTTTTTCACGAAAATTAATTGTCACGCACAACGAGTCTGTGTACAAAATGTCAGCTCGATTGGATCACGGGAAGTGGGTTAAAAAACGACCGAAAGATTTACACGGTCGTAAGCAAGCAAGCAAGCACGCAAGCACACAAGCAAGTGAACTTAATATAAAGGATTTAAAAAAGAGCCATTTTCTTCAAATTCGGTAAATAAAAAAATCTATATTTCAAGAGCTGCAATGCATTGTGGTGAATACCAGACGGCCCTTAATAAATAAAGACACTGTGAGGATTGCTCTTATTTTAATAATGGAAAAAGAGCAGTTCGGTTACATTTTCTCTCACCCATGCAATTCCCTCAATGTTATAGGGCCACCACAACAGTGTCGGAACTTGGCCGGCGCCTCCAACCAACCGCACGTTCAACAACTCAACGCAGTGACTCCACACGGTGACATTCTCGGGATTGGCTGGCGTCTTCAACGGTGCCCCGACCAAAACACAACGTAGCCACAGACTTGGATCACTGAGTCACCCACCCTGCAGTGGCAGCAGCTGGTCCTCTCCCGGAGACCCCTTGGTCGCGGCGAGCATCGATTGTCCGTCCTTTCCTGGGCAAACGCCGACCATCCTGGCGAATGCTAAATCCCCATGTTCTGCAGAGTGAGTAAGGAGTTTGTATGTTCTCCCCCTGTTCTGCATGGATGTCCTCCGGTTTCCTCCTGCAGCAGCCCCCATACCCATTTTAACGATTGTATTGGCCAAGACGGACATCCTGTTGGTGCAAACATTATACATGTACATTGCTCAATTCGGATTACTATCGCAATATTGGTAAAACTTGGCAGGACACTCCTGAAAAAGAGACTCAGTGAAGCTATCCTGGGTTA